AGCAAAAGGTTCGTCGTATGCATCCTGAGATGTCAAAAAAGATCAAGGTTGAAGTCATGAAACAATTTAATGTCAGATTCTTAGCTGTTACTTGTTATCCACAGTGGGTCGCGAACGTGGTACCGGTACCTAAAAAGGACGGTAAGGTGCGTATGTGTGTGGATTATAGAGATTTGAATAGGGCAAGCCCCAAGGATGACTTTCCACTTCCCCATATTGATGTTCTGGTTGGAAACACCCACAACATAAGATATTCTCCTTCATGGACTATTTCTCTGGTTATAATTAGATCAAAATGGCACCTGAAGACATGGAGAAAACAACTTTCATCACACAGTGGAGCACTTTCTGCTACAAGGTTATGCCATTTGGGTTGAAGAATGTCGGGGCAACCTATCAGCGTGTTATGGTAGCATTGTTCCATGATATGATCCACCACGAGATAAATGTTTATGTTGACGATATGATAGCCAAGTCTCAGACTGAAGAAGAACACCTTGATCACCTACAAAAACTATTTGAAAGGCTGAAGAAGTACAAGCTAAGACTGAACCCGAGCAAATGCACCTTTGGAGTAAGATCTGGCAAGCTCCTAAGTTTCGTTGTCAGTGTTAAAGGTATTGACGTAGATCATACGAAGGTTGAAGCTATTCAAGAGATGCCAACTCCCTGCACCGAGAAGGAGGTTAGAGGTTTCTTGGGACGTCTAAACTACATTTCCAGATTCATTTCCCACCTAACCGCTACTTGTCAACCAATTTTCAAATTACTGAAGAAAGATCAAGTAGTGAAGTAGAATGATGACTTCTAGACCGCCTTTGACGGAATCAAGGAGTATCTTCAAGAACCTCCAATTTTTATGCCACCAGTTGAAGGAAGACCTCTGATCATGCACTTAACAGTATTAGAGAATTCAATGGGGTGTGTTGGGGAAGCATGACGAGTCTGGTCGAAAAGAGCATGCAATATACTACCTTAAAGCAAAATTTTTACCGACTGTGAAACAATATACTCACTGCTCGAGAAAACTTGTTGCGCTTTGGCATGGGGTGCTCGTCGACTAAGGCAGTATATGTTGACTCACACTACCTTATCGATATATAAAATGGACCCTATCAAATACATGTTTGAGAAGCCCGCTCTCTCCGGAAGAATAACAAGATGGCAAATGGTCCTAACCGAATACGACATTCATTACACTACCTAAAAAGCAATCAAAGGGAGCGTACTAGCTGATCATTTGGCTCACCAGGCTGTAGACGACTACCAATCAATGAATTTTGAGTTCCCGGACGAGAATATCATGCTAATAACTGATTGTGAAAAACCTGGACCGGATGAAGGACCTAAAAAAGGATCTTGATGGACTATGGTCTTTTATAGAGCTTCCAACGCACTCGGCAGTGGCATTAGTGTTGTGATTATCTCCTTGGAAGGCTGCTATACACCCTTCACTTCCAGACTATGCTTTAATTGTACCAACAATATGGCCGAGTATGAGCCATGCATTATGGGTATCAAGGCTACTATTGATTTGAGAATCAAATTCTTGAGCGTATACGGAGACTCGGCCTTGGTAGTCAGTCAGATTAAGGGAGACTGGGACATGAAGCATCATAATCTCATCCCATACTGAGAGCATGTGTTGACATTGATTCCATAGTTTGAAGAGATTACCTTTGAACATATTCTGTGAGAAGAAAATCAGTTAGCGGACACGCTAGCCACGATGTCATCCATGTTTAAGGTCGGGTGGGATAATGAAGCCCTTCATATCGCTATTAAAAGATTAGACGAACCGTCCCACTATTATGAGATTGATGTTGATGGAGTAGAGGAAAATCCTTGGTTCCACGAAGTGAAAACGTATCTCGAAGATCAAGAGTACTCTGAGGGAGCATCCATCAATGACAAAAAGTTCTTAAGAAGGTTCTCTGCCAAGTTCTTCTTGAGTAATGGAATTCTCTACTAGCGCAACCATGATTCTACCTTACTGCAGTGTGTGGACAAAAAAGAAGCAGAGAAAATTATGAAGGACATGCACGAAGGTACCTTTGGCACCCATTCTAGTGGGATTATAATGGCTAAAAAGATACGGGCAGGATACTATTGGTCCACTATAGAAGAAGATTGTCATCATCACTCCCGAACTTGTCACAAATGCCAAATCTACACCGACAAAGTACACGTGCCTCTGGTTCTGTTAAATGTCTTGACTGCCTCTTGGCCATTCGCAATGTGGGGTATTGATATGATTGGAGAGATTATACCTACCGCTTCCAATGGACACCATTTCATCCTTGTCGCCATTGATTACTTCACAAAGTGGGTAGAGGCAGCCTCATTTGCTTCTGTTACCAAGAACATTGTGGCACGGTTTATCAGGCACAATCTTATTTGTCGGTATGGTATCCCAGAAAGAATTATCACAGATAACAGTAATAACCTCAATAATATTATGATCACCAAGCTCTATATGCAATTCAAAATCCAGCATCATAATTCTTCTCCTTATCAGCCGAAGATGAATGGCGTTGTAGAGGATGTCAATAAGAATATCAAAAATATCATATAGAAGATGAAATGACATATAAAGACTGGAACGAGATGTTACCATTTTCTCTTCATAGATACCACACTTCAGTGCGCACATCAACGTGGGCAACCCCTTTCTCTCTCGTATACGGTATGGAAACTATTTTACCCGTTGAAGTCCAGATCCCTTCTTTGAGAATCATGAAGGATGCAAGTTTAAACGAAGACAAATGGATTCAGACTCGATTTAATCAGTTGAACCTGATTGACGAGAAAAGGCTCGTGGCTGTTTGTCATGGTCAGATGTACCAAAAATGTATGATTAAAGCTTTTAACAAGAAGGCCAAGCGTCATGTATATCATGTTGGTGATCTAGTAATCAAGCTCATCATCCTACCACAAGGTGATCCCATGGGCAAGTGGACTCCTACATACAAAGGACCATTTGTGATCAAGAACATATTTTCTGGCGGAGCTATGATATTAACCACTATGGATTGTGAAGACCTTCCGCACCCAGCAAACACGAACATAGTTAAAAGATACTACGCATGAAAAGAGACCCGCTAGGTTTACTGGCCTAGGAAAAAATAAGGGCATCCCGGCGAACCAAAAGGGTTCAAGCAAAAATTAGGGATATATAAAAAATCTGTCCACTCGGCAAGTCGAAAACCTGAAAAGGCGACTTGGGCAAAAAAGGGTATCCCGGTGGACTGAAAACCTGAAAAGGCGGTCCAGGAAAAAATTAGGGATTAAAAGCGTACGACTATGTCCCATTGGATCACCTTACATCCAGGCTTCATTATCAAATTGACAAGTTCGAATGGTACGGATCAATCCAATCAGCTCCTGCCAAGCAGCAAAGTGATGAGACACTCAAAGATATAAATGCAATAGTGTTGCACCCTAAAATTTACCCTCTTGATTTAGGATTATGTTATATCATAATCATCATATTGAATTGCATTCTTGCATTGTGATGGGATCAAGGTGTTATTATCTTCCCGGCCCTCTTCAAGCAACAAAATTTGTTCATGTTGTCAATCAGTCCAAGATGGATCTCATGTTCTCATTCCTCTGTTTACTCAAGCTATTAAGGTTTCTCAGGCATTATGTTGTCTCAATTTGACTCTTTGTTTTATCATAGAATTGAAAATGGCAAAGTTATGATGAGATCATTTTGGGCTTATGATAGGGTTTTCAACCTTTGGTTTAGATAAGATCAGACTCAAAAGGCCATTAATTTTTTCTACTTGGGATAACTTACATTCTTGTCAATTTGTTGGGGTCAAGTTCAAATTCAAGGTTTGAGTTTGATCTCAAGTCATAATTTTTATTCAAATTTCAAGGGTTCTACATGGTATCCTAGAGCCAAAGTTCATTCAAGATTTCAATCGAAGATGCAAGTTTCAATCTCATTCATTCAATCTCATCCCATACTTACTATTTGAGTTCAAAATTCAAGTTCATTTTCCATTTAACTTTATTCATACTTCAAGATCATATTGTTCCAAGTTTTGTCATCAAGACTTATTCAAGATTTCTTGCATTTACTCAAGAATTAACACATATTTAACCCATCTGCAAAAACTCCACAAATGTTTCAAGTTTGTTTACAAAATTCTTTATAATACCATCAAATTCAAAGTTTCAAAAAAATGTTACAAGAGTATTCAAATTTGTAAGTCCTAAATTTTCTAATGAGGTCTTCATCTTCATTTCTTCAAATTCCCTCCAAGATTCGTTCTTCTTCAATTCTTCAAGCTCGCCATAGCCTTGCCACTTGACAATTTGTGATCAATCATTGTGTTCATGAAGCAAGAACAAGAAAATGTTACAATACAATCAAATGTGAAGATAAATAAGAACTATCAAAGTGTGTTATTCATGAATTCATCACTAGGGTTTGTGTAGGAATCAAAATTTAAGGGTGATTTTTTCGAATCATGTTCAAGCAACCAAGGCCTCATAACAAAATAAGAATTTTATCATAGGCCTACTCAACCAATTGCAAATCACAAAAAGGTTTTTTTGTTCACAAAAGGAAGTTAAAATGCAGCAAAAATAAGCAACAGAAGCATATCAGAAATCAGAAAAATCATCACAAGACAGAAACAAGTCTTAGCCTAGTATAACATCACAATTACAGCAGCAAAATAGAATGCAAATAGAATCGCATAGGTCCAGCCCAACATCAGAAGTTCTTACTACATAAATTACAGCATATTAGTAAAAATAAATGAAATGATGACATCTCAAAAAATAAAAACAAACACAAAGACAAAAGCCCTAATTTTGGTATCATCATTTTCCCTCACTCAAAAACTCTTCAGAATACGGAGAAAGAGAAGAGGAAAAGAAGCTTTCGAAAAGTCAGAAAGATATTACCGGGAGAGGACTTGATCAAATAGAAAATTCACAAATCTTTCATCGCTACTTCATCATCCTCGCCGTTCTTTTTTTCATCAGATCAGCAACTAGTTCAGAAACAAGAAGTTTCCAGCTCACAAAATCAGGAAAAGAGGATAAGAGATAAATCAGGAAGAGTGAAAGAAGGAAATCGTGAAAAGTATACCAAGCCATACAAAAATATCAGAAAATTATTTGAAAGCTCAGCCAAGTGATAAAATTCCAGAGCAAGCCTCAAAATCAGAATCATTCTCATCCATCCAGTTTTATAACAAACTTCCAGATCCTGGGGCAGAAAATCATTTTTCTTGTAACTGACTTTTCTTAACAAACTAACAGAATAAAAGGAGAAAGACGTACCAATATCGTTTCATTCTTTAACTGCGGAAAAATTACACAAGAAAACTCCAGAAGAGCTCTCATCTTCTCTCTGCATTCTTCTTCAATCTTCTTCGAACTCTCTCTCCCCACTTCACAACCATTCTTAAATTCCTTCACTCCTCCATCTTCATCCATTTTCTAAACCTCTGCCCCTTCTCTTCTCCCTTCAATAATAAAACCTTTTCTTTACATTCATCTTCGTCTTCTTCTTCAACCAACTTCTACTCTCTAAAAATAACAACATCACAACTCACATAATAATCTGCAACAACTAATGCACTTCATCATCACCATAACCAAATCTCTTAACAACTGTTCGTACATATTCATCACTGCAATAACACAAATCCGAATGCAACAACATCAACAGCATCCGCGGAATTGAAGAAGAGAAGAGGAATTGTAAAACGAGAACGAATCTGAATTCTTGAAGAAGCTTGTTCTATGGTGTTCTTATTATTGTCCTCTTCATTGAAGACACACCAGACGAACTCCAATCGGTAAATCGCGTGTCCTAATATCTTTTCTTGTTTTTGCTTTGAAGTCTGAGTTCTTTAAAGAAGCATGGCGAAAAGAGAGAAAGGATCGCCAGAGGTCGTCGTGCAGTTTGCGAGAAGTGAGAGTGAAAATGGACGAAATCACGAGCAGAAGCGAGATAGGAGAGACAAATTCACCTAGAAAGGTTGATTACGGAGGCGAGCGAAGCTTCGTCATCGGAAGACGAGGAATGGTTATATACGGAGGCGGAGCAGTCAAAGACAGAGAAGAGAACAACGTCGCTTTTATAACCCTAACTCATTCCAAACACCACGTTTCTGGTTCTATAACTTTGTCTATTCATTTTTTGTTTCTTTTCAATATTAATAATAAAAATTTGTCGAGATAAACAAAGACTAGATCCTTGTGATTGAAGTGGACCGGGCTTGCACCTCATAGGCCCTCTTACTCTTATTTTTGGAGCCATTGACACAACAAAAAACCGTCTGCTGGATTCTACATGTGTGGCCTAGCACTCTGTTGGTATTCATCACTCTCTGATTGCAGTTTTCACCCCCTGAAGCATCCTCTTTGTACTTTCTTTTATTGATTAATTGATCTTTTATTTTTTGTTTCGATTTTATCTATTATTTTTGTGTGATATTTCTACATGATTTTTGCTTACTTGTTTACATGATAAAAATGAAAAAAAATATTAGAATAAAATTTCAATTCTTTTATTAACTTTTTATTGTTATTTTAGTCATGTTTTTGGTAAATTTTAATGCAGACTTTGTGTGAGATTGTGTAATAAAAAGAGACTTTGGTCAAGAAGTTTTGAGGCAAACAAAGAATGCAAGCTCCATTGAGAAAAAATTCAAAAAGGATTTCGGTATAGTTTTCTCATTGCTTGTGTGGCTTTGAAGAGGCAACAGACCTACTCCGTTAGGTTCATTGTACGATACACAGATATGCTCAAGATTTTGATTGTGATTTATTTTCACATCGATGGTGCTTCAACAGTTATCTCAAGCATTTGATTTCAGACTATTTTTCTTTGCTTGGTGAAGCTTACTCAAAGTTTTCCGGGTTTCTCTATTTTTGCTCGCAGTGTTACGAACTTTTGTTCGCTTGGTATTCTCTGATGTTTACCTTATTTTGGCATTTACCTTTTTCTAGAGATCATGTATTGTAGGAGAATTTATCTCTTTCTAGAAATCATGTGAAGTAGGAAGCAGGGAATAAAGAGAGTGCGCTCGAAGTCGCTGTTTAAAGTCCTGTAGCCGGCACCGTTTTCTGTATGCTAATTGAGTTTGTTTAAAATGCTACCTTAGAAGTAGGTATTATGCACGTGTATTTATATTTGTGCTTGCATTATATTACAGGTGAAAAGTACTCAAAAGGAGGTGAGCGGAAAGGGTTCATAATCGACCCTACATATTCCAATCCATGTCGTTCCTATGCTCACTTTCTACAAGGCGATGCTCCGAACATGTGCCCAAGATCTGAATGAATTTAAGTCCTTTAAAGGCGAGTGAAAAGGGTTCCCACAATCGGATCCCCACACTTTTTTTAGCTCATGTTGACCAACACTGATGCTTAGTGTGCGCATGCACTGTGTCTTTTCCCCCAGATCTTTCTTGCCTTGATAATTGATATCACGGTTAAGGACCCTTTTGTATTCCCATAAATTCTATGGCTTGTTGACTCGGGTGATAAGCCCCCTTTGGAAGTGGCTTGACCCTTGGTCTGATGCTTGGTTGCTTGTCTATGGCGAGACCTCCCTTTTACTACTAGGCCTGCGCCTTCTAGGTGTTTTATATTCGAGTGATGCTCGAGATTTTGTTTGTCCAGATGTGTTACCATCTGTTTTCTTGTTTTTTGTCACAGGGTCTGTGACATTTTTACCATGCTCCCTTAGGATTGCTCGATTAGAGTAGCTTACAAGATAAACATTAGGATATTCACCCATGTATGCTAACATAGGTTAGAAACTTCCCTTTTCATCCTCAACTTTAGGGTCAATCATTGTATGACAAAATTAGTAGTAGTGCTAGGCTAGTCTCCCTTAGTTATTTTTCCTTTCTTTGCATATTGCATCTTAAAATTAAAACTTCTTCTTGGCAAATCATAAAACATCTCTAACAAACTTAAATCCATCTTCAAGGTAAAAAAATACAAATCAATCTTAATTGTTTGTGCGCCTTTTGGCTTTGTTTTAAACCTTGTCAAGTTGACGCTTTGCCATCCTTGCCATGTTATTTTGTTATCTTTTAGCTGATGTTTCGCCATCGCATATGTTTGTAGTTGATGTTTCGCCATCGCACGTGTTTGTTATCCTACCTTAATTTTCAATATCATTGTTAGGTGTGATGTTTTATCATATGGATTATTGATGTTTCGCCATCTTTGCCATGTTATTTTGTTATATTTTAGCCGATGTTTCTCCATCGTATATGTTTGTAGTCGATGTTTCGCCATCGCACGTGTTTGTTATCCTACCTTGATTTTCAATATCATTGTTAGGTGTGATGTTTTATCATTTGGATTATTAATGTTTCGCCATCTTTGCCATGTTATTTTGTTATCCTTTAGCCGATGTTTCACCATCGCATATGTTTGTAGTCGATGTTTCGCCATCGCACATGTTTTTTATCCTACCTTGATTTTTAATATCATTGTTAGGTGTGATGTTTTATCATCTGGATTATTGATGTTTCACCATATTTGCCATGTTGTTTTGTTATATTTTAGCCGATGTTTCGCCATTGCATATGTTTGTTGTCGAGGTTTCATCATCGCACATGTATGTTATCCTACTTTCATTTTTGATATCATTGTTAGGTGTATTGTTTCATCGTCTTGTCTTATATTTTGTTATCGTGTTGACGTTTTATCATCTTATCTGAATTTGTGTTGCCATGCGATGTCTTATCATCTCTTTGGTAGTTTTATCATCGTTGTTGATGTTTTGTCGTTTTATCTGATGTTTCGTCATCTTGATTGTTGCTTTTGTCTTCTTAACTAAAAACATAAACCAACCAAAATATATGAGCCGAACTACAGCTTCTATGATTCCTTAAAAGGGATACGTAGGCATTGGGGTAGGGCCCAAGCGAGCACAACTTTTATTTTCCCTACATTATTTTCCCTTTTCTTTTGCATGCATTCCCTCCTTGTATCTTCCTTTTTTATCTTTTTAAGACTTAGACATAGATTTTACACACTCATAAGATAGATAACAAGAGTGGATACTGTAGAGTACTACGGGCGTGTGGGGTGCTAATACCTTCCCCTTGCGTAACAGACTCCCTAACCCGATCTCTCGGTCGCAAGACCGTGATTTCACCTCTTCAGGTTTTCTCGATGTTTACCTTTCCCTTTCGGCAGGATAGAAGACGTTCGGTGGCGACTTCATTGATTTTTATATCAGATGAAACTTCGGCCGGTTGTTTCAGCTGGCGACTTCACTGGGGACAGATCGACCTATTGCTGGTCCATCCCAAAGTTGATCCTAGCTCTTGTTTGTTTACTACTTTGGGTGTTTATTTACTTCCAGTTATTTACAACTTTGTATACACTGATTGCATTTGTTTTTGCATGCATTTTATCGCTTTCAATATGCTAGTGGTACTGCTGTTTCTTTGTCTCTCTGTGGGTAGGTGTTACAAGAAGTAAAAGGCCCAATACCCAGGCCAAGTGACAATCATAGGAACCCTAGGAATAGAGTGGAACATGAATGGCTAGTCGACTTTGGTTTTCTAGTACGGTCATGTCATTCATGCTCAGTTGAGGTTACAAATGAGGTGCTATCATTTCACGTAGGTGTTTCCACGATAGTGGCTTTAGGCGTAACCGTGATTCTGAGTTACCCTTGATTTACCATGACCTAGTTTCACCCGAGAGTGGGGAGGGAAGATTGATTCTTACAGGTACAGGTGGTGACTCTAGTTCTGACGATGACTTTGGTTATGTTGCTGACTTGAGTTCTGTTGGTGACCATGTTTTGATAGTTACTATGTGTTTTTGATGGTGACTTGATACAGTCGGTGACTGTGTGTTCTCTCAGTTTTTCTCCGGACTTCTCACCTTGTGATAGCCGTTTATTTCGGCAATTCTACAGTTATCTTTTATGACTGGGAGATTTTGGTCTCATGCAGTTGTTGATCCACTTGGTACTTGATTCTTTTGTGTTATGAGATGGTGCCAGACCTTTGATCCAGTGATATTCATCATTCAGTTTAGAGACAGTGCAACCATTCTCCATGTTTATGGAACCTTGACCCCGTGTTCTTGCATACATAATCTGTTAACGTCATTTTAACACACATGTTCTTTCCATTTCCAAGGAACCATGCTTGTGAGCTTTGTGTTTCACTTCTCCACCTTTTACTGGTTTAAAATCAAAATTAAAATCATGAGGGTTCATTGGAAATGATCGAACATGGCGTTGCATCCACTCATGCACATCATGCATATTCATGCATTCATAACAGGTACTCAAAGTTAGGAATTCTTATTCGGATTTGGTGCTCTCTTCAGAGTTATAGACTTGAATTCTTGTTGTCACATGTTCAAATATCAGTTATGGAATGACTTTGTGGGGTATTAGCCAGGATGAAGATTCAGATAAGGTTGGTTGTGGTGTACATGCAAGCTTTGGCCCGTCATTGGGAACTCTTCGAGAAGGAAGATAATCAGTTGGAGATTGTTGTACCCTAAAATTTTCCCTCTCATTTATCAAGACTTTTCTCACAGTATCTCTTTGACTCAAGACTGGATTAGGGTTTGATCAGCTCAAAACCTCTCATCATGCACTGATCACCCAAAATTAGGTTTTGAGTTTTCCCAAGGATTTTTGGACTATCAATGCTTCATATGACTTTCAAACATCATTATGGACGCCTAAGTTTACTTATGACAAGTTTCAAGCCTTGAACCACATTTTTTATCAGTCAATTAGACAGATGACCTAAAAATCAACTGTATTGGGGAAAAAGTTAACCATGGCCAATTTACAGTCAAACTTCATAATTTTTGATCCACATCAACATTTTAGACTCATATATATATCATTTGATCAAGTTTGGACCATAATTCCTCAAGAAATTTGATCAAATCATCAAAAGGGCAAAATGGTCAAAATTAGGGTTTTGACTTAGAAAGGGTAATTTTTGATTTTTGACCTAGCAAATGACCAATTGATTTGAAGCATGATTTCAAGGGTTCAATTTCATCATCATGACCTAATGACATGGTCCAAAAACATTGTAAATCCATTGGATTGACAAATGAAATTTGCAGTCAACTGATCAAAAGTGAACTGTATACTGAAAAGTCAAACTTTGACTTTTTTGGTCAAAATCAAGTGCCAAGGATCACAATTCATCAAAACATGTCAAAATTTGA